GCATGATGCCTTAAGCCTGTAATTCCAGCTATTTGGTAGTTGGAGATCCGACTATCTTGGTTCTAGGCCAGCCCAGACATAAAAATTGGCATAACTCCATTTCAACCAATAGCTGGTCATGGTAGCACCCATTATCCCAGCTACTGGGTGCAGTGGTACATGCATGTCATCCTGTGGCACAGGAAAGTACAAGTAGGAAAACTGCAGCTCGCCAGCCTGGGCACTAAGTCAGACTCTATCTAGAAATACAAAAAGGTACAGGAGGTATGGCTCAAGTGGTAACATAACACTGGAGTTTAATATCCGGCCAGCACTGCCAAATAAATGAGCCTTTAAAAGGGGTAAAGGAGAGGGGCAGAGATACTGTTAGGGAATATAAACTGGCATACATCAGGAAAAAGGAATCAAATGGAAACAGGGAATAAGAATCACGTGCTTCACCCAGGTCTCACTGGCACAGATGACAGGTACAGATCCAGACTGGTTTACAAGTCTGTTTTGCAGAAACTCATGAATTTTCAGTCCAGCATTCTGTTATCACACACAGCTACTTCATGTATCTCCAGGCTGGTCCCCTTGGAATTGCTGTTCCTCATAACTTTTATTATTTCTGCCTCAAAGATTCTGTTCACTCATAGGTTAGGCTTCCCGTTACTTTGGTGCCCAAACCTGATACCGAAAGTGCGAGGTCATCTCTATAAAGGTTTAGAAGTCATTTGTAGGGGGTCCAATGGTCTTCTGCAAAGAAAAGGACAAGTTGTGCCACTTAATACCCTCTCCCGAGAAAGAGGCACAGTTCATTATAGGTCTCCATGGGTTCTGAAGGAAACACATGCCCTACTTGGGAACACGGATGACTTACAGGGAGATCTGCAAAGCTGCTGGTTTTGGAGCCCAGAGAAGGCTCTATAAGATTCAGGCTTCCAGCAAGTGGCCACTAGGGTCATACAATCCAATCGAGCTAATGTTCTAGGTATCTGTGGTAGATTCAGGTACTCTTAGAGTCTCTTGTGGGACCATGGCAATCAAACAGCTGCTCTACAGACTCCTAAGGTTCCAAAGCAAAGCAGTAGCTTACACAGTAGAGAATAATTGATCATTTCCAAAAGTACCTAGGCATCTACCATGAGAACAGGTGATCTGCATTACATCAGAACTGTCATGAGGTCTGGTCAACATTGAAGCGCTAAAGCACAAGCAAATACAGGTAGGCCTATTAAAGGCACAAGACTGACCATGTGATAAATGTGACAAGCTAACCACCGTATAGTGCTCTGCCCTGGACTTGAGTTCTAAGCAGCAAGGGAAAGTAGGATTCCCTTTTACCACCCTGGTGATTAATTGGTGAAATGTATGTTCTACAAATTTAGGTTGTGATGAATTCACAATGTGGGACATGAGAATACATTCACCAGAGCAACACAATTATCTGAAGCTGGGAACATCCCATCATTTGAGGCTTCTCATACCCGGGGAACAAGACTCCAACCATAATGTAGACACTGGCCACAGTGACAAGGAGCTAAGAGGGCCCACAGGAGCCTCTGGGTGCTTCCAGATTCTGGGCAACTATAAACTGCTTCAACAAAGGCCAGATGACAGTTGTGGAACTAACACTTTGGTCTTACTAAAAGACCTTGATGACTCCCACCAGGAAAGGACCCATTACACCTGACAAGGGAGATCTAGAAAGTGTGGATGAGGCAATATGAGTATTTCCACCTCCAGGCCAGGTACAGCAATATGACTGCAGCTTGTTTTACTAACCCTCTCAAACTGAGTACTGCATATACCCATCGCCCTGAGGAACAAGTTACAGTGGGGCTTATTGCCTGGCAAGCGCACATGCACGCGCGCACGCGCGCGCGCACACACACACACACACACACACAGTCTTGTGCCTGCCTCTCATCCTTTTGGCTCAACATTTTTTTTTTTTTTTTGGCCAATCTGAGACAAACTCAGGGGCCTAGGTACTGTCCCTGGGCTTCTTTGTGCTCAAGGCTAGACTCTACCACTTCTAGCCTATAGCACCACTTCCAGCTTTTTCTGAGTAGTTTTTGGAGATGCATCTCACAGACTTTTTTGCCCCAGCTGGCTTCAAACCATAATTCTCGGATCTCAGCTTCCTAAGTAGCTTAAGATTACAAGCATGAGCCACTGACAACTGGCTTTGGCTCAACTTTTAACCCGTTATCACTGTCAGTTGCTTGCAGGTATGACCCTCAAAAAACAAAAACTCAGCTCAGCTTCACAGTCCAGCCCTTGTTTCTCCTTCCTCCAAGTGTGACGACTTTAAGGACCAAGCCAGCATGGAGCCACACCCACACTGGGATGCACAGGAATTGCATAGGGTAATTCTAGACGTATGGAGACAGCTTATTTTTTTCCTGTCTGGAGTGGAAATTCTGTGTGTATTTCACAGGGCTTCCCATCCCTGAGGCCACATGAAGCCCCACACTCAATGGGCTTTATCTCCTTTTTCCTTTCCTGTTACTTCAGATCACAAACTAAACTACCCCTATCCAAGCCTTTCAGTCTCTGCTCTTTGTGTTACCAAAGTATGATTGAATAAGAGAATACTGGGACAGATTATTTGGGATAAACCTAATATGTATATCAACCCTAGAGAGCACTAGTATGTGACTGAGCTGTCTTTGGGATTGAAATAGTCAGTTTCAAGGTTTAACTACAAAGTACGGAGTGGCTAGTAGTTTTATTTGGTGACACTGTTTATCTTCATGGCCTTATGTGGTAGGCATTTACTTTCTCCCTGCTCTGCAGTAGAGATGAGGTCTAATGCCAACTGCTAAATGCAAGCTAGCCTTCTAGCCCCAGACCTGACCTCCAAGGCCAATGCTTGTAACCGTTATACTTTTGTTCCTCAGCAGGACCCTCTCCCTACCCCCCGCCCATCTTATTACTCTCAGCCTCCAAGTTAGGCAAACCCACACATCTTACCTAAAAAAGGATCATTTTCCTGTCAGCTTTGTGAACTTCGGGGACAAAATCAAACACCATCTCCCCTAAGCTTCTCAAGCAGAACTGATTCCTTGTCATTAAACCCCAAGCTCTCAGAAAGGAGGGGCTTGCTGGGTGCTGGTGATTCACATCTGGAATCCTAGCTACTAAGGAGACTGAGATCCAGTTCCAAGCAAGCTCACCAAAAGGCTTGCATGAAAGAGCTAAGAACAGCGCTCAGGAACAAGTTAAAGCCCCAATACCGGCACACACAAACACACACAAAAAAAGACTCTACAATGTCTAGACCCTCATTCTGATGGTCAAGATCCCCAATACTAGCCACAGTAATACATTTCAATGCTGAATTGAGGAATAAGAAAGACAAAGCATTTCATGATTAATAGAAGATTTATTTAACAGGAATACAAACTGGTATCCTTGCCAGGCCTAATAGGAGAGGTTAAATGTTCGGTCCAATTTTCCCTCCTGGATAAGTTTTTCCTTTCTATCCTATATAGACACATAAAAAAAAAAAGATATATGAATAACAATGCATTCTTGTTCAACCCATGGTATAACTCTGAAAATCAGAATAAAATACTCCAAACTCAGTTGTGATCCCATCATATATGAAAAAGTAGTCATCAGAAGAACTAAAGGAACAGTAAGAAAATGCCTTCAAAAGTAACCTTATCCATATTTTAGTAACTGGAAATAAATTACCCCATAAAACAGAACAAATAGCAAACACTTTCTGGAAAAGATGGATCTAACAAAAGAGTGGACTGGCCATCTTAAAGACAAATGTAGCAAGAGCACAGGTTAAACAACACATGCCTGGGGGCTCTGGCCAAGGACCTAGCTCAGGAAGTGAAGTGGTCTCCTCAGAGCTAAGCTTGACCTTCCATGATACATACACCTCAGCAGTCTGGCTGCAGACTCCCTGGCTGCTCTCCCTTCTCTGTCAATAGGGCATCCATATGCTTTAACACTTAATTATAATTTGTGACTAGCACAACTAGAATTCATATATATAAGGCGCATCCTACTTGACACAATAAACATCTCTTTTTAAAACAAATGAACAGAAAAAAATTAAGTAAAAACTTTACTAAGATAATCTGAAGGTTAACCACAATAAAAAAAATAGTTTCTGTGCCATCTTGAAATAACAAAAAAGTTAAAAAATTATTTCAGTATTGTTTTACTTAATATCACAGTATAATTTCCATATATTTGAAAAACACACCAGGAAAACTTTCCTGAGCTAACTTCAAGTCTTAGAAATTTAAACTGGGTGTTTTATTACTTTAACTCTACAGCAACCATTAAGTTAGACCCAGAGGCTACCACAATGTTTAGTCAAAGAAAGGGAAGGAAGAGTTCAGGGCTAAGGTGGGAGGGGCATTGGTGGCAAACACCAAGACAAACAGCTACAGGCGGCTAAAAGGGACCCTACCACAGCAAGGCTAAACAGGGTGTCCCAGTACTTACCCTATCATATTTTAGAACATAGTACCAGAAGACGAGGGGCCCAATTCCAACCAAAGCTCCTAACAGTGAGTTCTTGAGAGTGGGTCTGAAATTGGGATAGATATTTGCTGATCTTGCATAGGTCCAGCGAATCAAGGCAGGATCTTCCTAAAATTAATGGGAACAAAGAGTGATAGAACTTAAGGGACACATCCAGAAACAAAGGACTTTTGTGAAGGAGCACAGAGACACCTTGCTCTCCACATGAATACATCTAAATAGTTTCAGGGGAAAAAAATCTCTCATTGCTACTATTTAAAAAAATAATTCTAATGACTTTTCAAATCCTTCAGAATTTAAAAGACTTACCACCCTTCAACTTTCTATTTATGTATGGTATTATCCTAATCTTTTAAACTAGCGGAGAAACCACCTTTCCTACTTAATCTACTCCCTACCCTCTACCCCCTCCCACCCCTGGTCACACTACAGGGGTTTAAACTCAAGGGACTTATGTTTGCTAGCCAGGCTTTACCATTTGAGCCCTATCTCCTGCCTCTTTGTTTTTATTATTTTTTGGAATGGGAGCTCACGTTTTGTACAAGCTATCCTGAACTGTAATTGTCCCACTTACACCTAGCCCATAGCTGGGGTGACAAAGATGAAATGGGGTGTCACTAACTTTTTCCCACGACTGATCTTGAACCCTTATCCTCCTACTATCCATCCGCCTGAGTAGCTGGAACTAACAGGTATGAGAATCCTTTATTATTTGTTTCTATTTCTCTAAACAGTTTCATCTTCCTTATCTTTCTTGAAATGTAACCACCAGAATCACAGTGGCACCCTTGAAAGCAAAACAGATTTCACATGTTCTACAAAGCTTTGTATTTCATTCCATGACCTTTTCTAGTGCTCTCTCAACACTGGTCTTTCCATAACTGCAGGAAGATGAAAGCGGAAATATGCTAACTCTGAGCTATTACTTTTTGTTTTGTTTTGGTGCTAGACAAGCATGCCCTCTTATCACTGAGCTATAACTCTAGTCCTGAAATATTAATTTCTAAAGCTGACTTGGCAGGTATTTCAAAAGCAAAGTTAGTACATTTTATGAAATGTACTAAAAGTTTTGTAGAAAGATCAGTCATTAAAGAAAACAATCACCTTGTCTGGTGGTTAAGGGGAAAAAAAGTCATTGTTCATTTTACTTCCTAACTTCCTAAGAGAAGCAAATTTACCTCAAACACATAGTTGAATTTTCAAATGATTTACAAAGTTATTCTCTCCAAATAACTGGCAGATCAAAACAAACAAAAAAACCAAGCCAATAAAATCAGCTTTAGGATTTAAAATATAACATGCACATTCAAGGTCCCTACCAACATTAAAAAGTCAGGACTAAATTAACTTAGCTGTGTCTTCCACAGTTATATTCAAACTAAATCACAGTAATTTTATCCTGAGATAATCAGCTGGAGCTCAAAAGAATCCTTAAGGTAGAAAAACTCCCTTTCCTTTTGTTTGAGTTAAAACTCCTCAAGGGTGTAAGCATTCACTATTAGATTCAAGTATTCAATAATACCTTCTGCTGGGCTGGGAAGGTGGCTCAGTGGGAGAGTGCTTGCCTTGCATGCCTGAGGCCCTGGGTTCGATTCCTCAGCACCACATAAGCAAAAAGAAAAAAGCCGGAAGTGGCGCTGTGGCTCAAGTG